CCCAAAGTTATTGGACCAGCAACTGCTTATGTTTTGTCTCATATTTTTTTTATTATTGGACCAGTAACTGCTTATGTTTCCTCAATTTCAACGTTTGCAGCCAAGCATACCTTCATTTTCAAGCTGGCCCTAGATTTTATTTTCAACATGGAGTAAGTACATGACTCCAGTCACCAAGCTAGCATACAAAATAAAAGGAATTAATGTTTGTCCTTCAAATCCATATATCATGGTGAACATGAATGCTCTTAAAGAAAATAACAGATGTTCTCTTTTATGATAGTACTAGATTTCAGACACAACCACACATAACAACAAAGTTCAATCACATTAGGGAATAGACCATGGACCACCTTAAATAGCAGATGCATAAGTACTTAATTCAATAAAAACCTTTGCCAAAGAACTATTGAGTGACAAGGTCGGAAGAACCTATTATAGGGGCCAATACAATTTGGGCCTCCGCCACCCGGAGCAAGCCAGTTGCCAATCTGCTTGTCATATCCTCCACAGACACCTTCACTACATCCCTCCTCATGCCAATGTCCGCAGCGTACCTACTAGCGCAGTACATTGTAACGGCTGTTGCTGCCATCCCATAAACATTGGTGGTAACAAGACGCAATGGTGTGGATAAAACGGCTGCCAGAGGTCCCCCTATTATAGATACCGCTTGTCCGCTTTGACCAATTGTTCCTTTATCCAGAACAAGAAGCCCCGTTTTGCAGTAAATAGCAAAGTCTTCACAATTTTTCTTAAATACATTATAACAACCAAAGCCATTGTTGAGCAAGTATTTTGCTCGATGGACGACGACATCATCTGGATCTGAGACTGCAAGAGTGCAGGTTCCACCACGTGCCTTTGCAATAAAGAGAGCAGCACTGACAGCATATTCAAAACGATACAAGACACCCCCTGCAAGAAAGCAGTTCAGGCACGAGGAGAGAACCCCACTTCCCTCTTCCCGTGGAGTGCAAACTTGGCAGGGCTGTTGAGGTCGGGCTGGCCCTGAGCTAACCAAGAGAGCATCCAGCATTGTCCCTGTTCCTACTTCTTGCCCACGCCTGGTGAAATGAACGACTGTGTCATCCCCTACATAGATGCCTGTTCTTGCTCAAATAGGATATTTATCAACAAATAGATATAAAGAACACGTAATTAAGCAAACTGTTCATATTATAACTGAGTTGTATCAGAAAATTAGAGGTAATGGACAATTCCTGAACTCCAAATGAGTTTTGCCTACCCTTGATAAAGAAAATTGTTGAAATATAAGTGGTGAGCTGATGAGAGTGTGATTAAAGTCCCTAAGCTGAAATGGTGTATTCACTTAGTCTCTAAAATAGGCAAGTGTGAGGCGTCAGTTAGTGTTAAGTGGCTATAGCCACGTGTAAAGATCTTAGAAGGCAGTTTTGGATGTAAGGCTGTGATTCTCAAGTGATGTAAGAGAATCCAGCTATTTCTCTAACAGTCATATAGCACACACTGTGCTTGCCCGAAAGTCTTTAGAGCATACAATACAAAAAAATACAGAAGTTTTGTTTTAGCTAAGCTCTCGGTTTTCTCTTGCATATTGTTTTTCTCTTCTTCTTCAAAACCTATACAAAACTCTAACAAAAATGGGCCCTCTTTAATAATGAATCTTTACTTGTAAACACACACAGACACCCCCTTGCACAAAACGATCCATGACAATTCTTACACACCCAATTTCTGAATGAATAACCTACTGCATCAGCCATCAGGCATTGCCCTTACTCTTCAATCTATTGAGCAAATCACTTAAAAAGATCTGACATAGCTCAAATTAAAAGAGGCAGGTAGTTGCTTGGGAAATTAAACTATTGTCACATTATCAAATCATTTATCTTTTCAAAAAATCTTTATTAGAAAGCTTATGGGGCTCAAAGTTCCCATCTTTCCCATGCTTCAGCCTTCAGCTACCCCAAAACTTGAAACTGGGACTTGGGTTACCAACTACATCTGCCATTGCAGCATATGATCATTACCTATACCTCATCTACCTCCTTTAGATATATATTGCCTTTTAATTACACAAAAGCCTTAGATTCCACAATCATTGCATATGAAGTTGAAACAAACTAATCGCTCTAACATGCAAACCAAATAATTTATATGCTTAAAAAAAAAAAGGAAGGAAACTTGACACATTTAATCAATGAAGAAAAATGGGGTAGGTAAGGAAACGAGAGATAACCATGATGAGCATAGATATAGGCAGTCCTCCAAGAGTAGATGTGATCCCCAGGCTTCAGGCTCCCCTTATCCACTCTGCATCAAATTATTTCACAACACAAAAGCATTTCACTTCCATTTCCTACGAATTCTCAGCACCCAAAACAGAAATTGCAATCTTTACTTAAAAAAATTAAAAATTATATAAAAAAAGATGGAACATACCTGTTGGAGAGCAGACCCATCTCTCTCTTTTCCCTTCTATTTTCTCAGAAAAGCAAGAAATGAAATCCTTCCCGGGGAATTGATTCTTCAAATCGATTGGGAGTTACAGGAGAAAAGGTAGAAGGGATAAAAACGGACACGAGTACGATCCTTTTCGAAACGAGCAACTCGAATACTTGTTAAGGTTCGAGAACGGGGACAGCTGTGGCGGGTTTTCCACGTGTCCGACACGGTTTGATGGCGCAAGCAGCCTCTGCAGCACAATCTTCGGAACAATGCCGACAGAGGCCCATGAAGGCTTTCATTTCCAGCCCAAGTTTTTTTGGTCAATTCCAGCCCAAGTTCATGTTGGGTTATTTTTTGCTGGGACTCTTTTAGGTCATTGCTTTGGGCCAATGGATCTACATCCTTAACAGCTTTTGGAAATACTCAAAAGTGTGCAAGCCCAATGTTGGAGCACACATTTTCTGACCTGCACACATCAGTATATGTAGGTTTGGCCAATTGGCTAAGGTATTGTGCCTGCTCCTTGTACTCAAGCTTGATCACCTTCTCCATACATTAGAGTAGTTAGAATATCATTTTGTCAATAATATATATATATATATATAGTTTCCATTGAGAGATCTCTCAAATAAGCTTATTTGATGGACACCCTTTGTAGGACTCACTCTGAATTTTATTTCACTAATCCAAACCGTCTATTTTGTAGATACTCATTCAAAGATCATCTCTACAAAAAAATCACTTGAATATGATATTATTTGACCACTCAATTGAGTTGTTGAAATTTTAGTTCAATTTAAAAAATATATTTTCTAACAAAAACCCAATCCGAACAACAATAATATATTTTTGTAACAAAAATCCGATCCGATCTAAAATAATAAATTTAAAGCTACTTAATAAAAATATATATACCGTTTAAGTGTTATGCATACAAAATAAAAAACAAAAATAAATTGGTTTAGGTGACGAAATGTTTGGATAACGCCATGCAAATATTTTTAAAAAGAATTATTTTATTTTATTTATTTTTATAAGGACTTTGCGCGACGAAGTTTATTTTTTTGTGACTCAAAGTCACTTTGTGCGACGAAAGACAATTCGTCTCACAAAAGTTTGTCGTGCAAAGTCACTTTGCGCGAAGAAAAACAATTCGTCGCGCAAGGTTTTGAGCGACGAAGTTTTGAGTTTCGTCGCGCAAAGTGACTTTGAACGACGAATAATTTTTCGTCCCGCAAAATTTGGTCGAGCAATGGTGATTTTTTACTAGTGAATTATAAGAACGACAGGTTTTGTGGACATAAATTCGAACTTTTCTTAATTTTATGAAAACATATAGTTATATATATCTTCCTAACAACCGCCACCTCCACAACCTCCACTGCCACCACAAGCTGCACCACCACCACCGCTGCCGCCTCTGTATCTTTTCTTGCTTGATCCTTCATCATCACCACAGGCAAATATGACCATTGATATAAGTGAAAGAGACATAAGAATCATGCAGAGCAAAAATATCCCCCCCGAGTTGTCTTGCATGATGCCTAGTTCCTCTGCGTGGCCACCACCTAGAACAACATATGTTCCTCTGGCCATTTTTTCGATGAGTTACAAGATTTGCTAGCTGTTCGTCAATCCAAGCACATATATATATATATATATATCTTTATAAAACTCACTCCGTATTGTATTTCACTAATTCAAACCATCTATTTTGTAGATATTGATTCAAAGATCATCTCCACACAAAAAATAACTTGTATCCGATATCATTTGATCACTCAATTGAATTATTGAAATTTTAGTACTTTCTTGTAGTGTGTTTATTAATTTTATAGAACACAATTAGATATCGAAACGGTTTCCAATTTGTCTAAATTTTTGCAAAGATAATCTATGAATGTAGACTTAAAAAAATATGAGGGTGTCCCTCAAATAAAATTATTTGAGAGATCCCTCAAGTTAACAAACTTTAGGAGTGGGGCAATATTGTGGTGTTGGCTAAGGACATTCTAACTGTCAAGTTACAAACTTAGTAAAATTGAACTAAAACGATAGATTTAGAGCTCTAAGGCCTCATTTGGTGGCTTGGCTTGGACTGGTATGGAGTTCAGGTCAACCTAGTCCTTTATGAGTCCCACATATCTAAGTGGAACTAAACACAGTATGTTGAAGTCCCAACATTTATAAGTACACGGAACAACAGCAAACCCACTTGTTCAATTAAATTGAAATAATTCACTCGAATCACACCACCAAACGTGACCTCAATATTACACGGAACGGAAGAATCCTTGTTTAACCAAGAGATTGTATAGACTTTTCAGTTTGAAAGGAGACCAATGCGGACAAGTTTCTTGCAAGAGGGGGATAAGTCCGAAACAAGTAACCTCCTCCCCTAAAGTTCCAAAATATCTTCCTTCTTTTGGTTGGGGGCTCTCAACCCTTTTACCTTGGGTCCAAAATGATGTTTAGTATGCACAAATCCAAATAAAATAGTAATTAGTTTTTTTTTATTATAAAAAATAGTGGATTGACTAGGTAGCCTAAACGAAACGAAAAATGCTTTAATCATATCCCAAATTTTCTTTCCCAACCTCATCGCATCGAAAAATAACAACTTTGTCGACCTAATCTAAATCTACGGCATGAGTTGAAGTCGGCCTTGAGGTCAACAAGTGATGATCAGGTCCACAAGTGATGGATTATGGAACATCCACGATATTATGACATCATTGACATGGGTGGTGAAGAAACACAGGGGACAAATAATGGTGGGTTCACACTTACAGCAGCCCACAGAGTCAATAGAGAGAGACAGCAAACCATTCATTTTTATATGCGATTTTCAACAGTTCGGGGATGACTAGGAAAACTTCCTGCTAGGCGGTCATCTCTTTCAAAGTTGTCATGCAATTATTATCCAGTGAAGGAGCTAGAAATCAATTTATATTTAGGATGTCGACAACATAGATTTTACAATATTTACCCAAATAATTACATAAATTTAATACAAATTTATAACACTACCACTTGAGGCCGAAGTGTGACTCTGCCCTTTGAATGACCATAAGCTTTGTCACATGATTCAAACATTTTGTACCCAGAATTTCTGTGGGACGTAAGGCGCAGCATAGCGCATGCCATATCTACAATGCCAAATAGTTTGCGAAGAGTCAAATTGAGCACATGCAAATAACAAAAAGACGTACGAAAATGGGTGGTTCTTTCTTCTTTGTTGTCAAGTTGCTTGTACACATTTCGTATCTACCACTTCAAGCTACAGCCAACATTAGGTTAGATAAGATGGCGCTCACATTTTGATTTGAGGAGAACTTTTCTCATTCTTTGCATGTTTCTCATTCAAATTGAGCACATGCAATCATGTTATGTTTGTGATCAAATTTTATTTATTTATAAATAAGGGTTAGTCAGTGGTGATGGCTTGTTTTTCTTTTTTTGGGTTGTTGTTGTTTTTTTTGTGTGTGGTTGTTGTCAAAGTTAAGAAGGAGAGAGGGAAACTCATACATACCGGTACTATGGAGGCTTGAACTGAAGACAATTTGAGAGCACATCAAAAGCTTGAGCAAATCCAACTAACACCCAATTGGTGATTGTGCTATAATTAATTAGAATTAATATGTAGTTCTACGAGTCGATTTTCTCAAATGTAACGAACCAAAAAAGTAAACAAGCGATTTATTTTGAACTTTGGTGTTTTTTTTTTCAACGTAATTTGGAACATCGAGAAGATAAGTATCATTAAATTAATAATTAATTGATAACTTACTGATAAAATATTTTTTTAAAGTAAGATCCATGTAATTCTCCCATGCAACAAAATTTGGACATAAACTTTACTCGATCCAAAACCGTCTTATAGCTAATTCTCCCACCAAATTTCGTTTTTCCTTTCTTCAAGTCATAATTAACTGGGGCCCCTTCCAGTCTTCGTAGGCCATGGGTACTTGAGTTGAAGAACAAAGACAGAACCGGCGGGATAAGAAATTAGGCCACCGAAGAAAATGTTCCTCCCAATCAGTTCCCGCCACATGGTCTTGATAACCCTCCTACGCAAATCACAGTGCACGCAAATCCCAACCCTCAATTTCCAGCCCTCAGCATATTCTTCCCTCCAGCATATTCTCATCGCGAACCCAAGCCGGCCAATCACACCTCGCTACCTTACTACATCACGTGCCCCTACCCACGTCATCACCCTCAAGTTTTGTCGTCACGTGCACATCTTACTTGGAAAGTACACGTGTGCCAGCAGGTTCCAGAAACAGAAAGCCCCGAAAATAGCAACCGTTAAATTCTCAGCCCCCCAGACTCTTCTCTGTGGCCTTTTCTTTTTATCCGTAGCTTCGCAAATTCGCATATAGAAGAAGATTCACGAATCAAATTCTCAGAAAACCCTAATTCAATTCGAAGCCTGTGGAATTTTGACACGTGAAAACGAACACTACAGTCAAAACCCTAGCTTGGACTCCGCCATGGCCAGCGAAGGTCAAGCTTCAACCTCCTCCAACGCCTTCTCCTTCATTTCAAAGGGGTGGAGGGAGGTGAAGGACTCGGCTGACGCGGATCTCCAATTGATGAAGCACCGGGCCAACGAGTTTAAGAACCTAGCGACGTCGTTCGACCGCGAGCTCGAAAACCTGTTCAAATTCAACTCGGCGTCGGCGATTCGGTCGTCGCCGCGGTCGGAGATAGACTTCGTCAAGAAGCTGCAGCCGAAGCTCTCCGAGTTTCGGAGGGTGTACTCGTCGCCGGACTTCAGTAAGAAGGTGCTGGAGAGGTGGGGCCCAAGGTCCAGGATTCGGATCGATTTATCGGCGATAAAGAATGCTTTGGTATTGGAGGGGGAGAACAGGGATGGGGTTATGGAATTTGATAGGGTTAGGAGGGGGAGGCCTCTGAAGTTTAGTGAGTTTTGGGGTGAGTGGAAAGGAGACGGTGAGGCTGAGGATGAGGAAAGGCAGTCTAATAAGGATTGGGAACCAATTCGGGCGTTGAAGACGAGATTGAAAGAGTTCGAGAAGCGAGAATTTCTTGGTGGGTTTAAGAATAGTGAGTTTGTTGAGAAATTCAAATCCAGCTTGGTATGTTCTCTCTAGCTTCCTTTCTTAATATGTTGCTTTTGGCTCTGAGCACTTGAATTTGTTAACTTGTATT